AAATTTGTGTTGTTCTAAGTCACTAGTTTGTGTTAATTTGTTACGGGAGTAATAGTAAGTTAACACATTGTATTTAAAGGGAAAAAAATACAAGAACTAAATGACTTCAGGAGCATTTTAACATAGGGTTGCATGGAGTACGACACAATGGGATGGCCAAAAATACTCCATCAAAACTGTGGCACACTTTTAAAAGAGCACACGGCTGAAATAATTGTCTCAAAGATATTTACTGCAAATCATATCACAGGATAACAATGGCCACTTCTATAGGTTACATACTTGCCTTAGAATGATATAACACCTTTTTTTTAAGGTCTACATGGTAATAGGTCAGAATGTCTGACTAGCCATGGTCACAAACCTTTGCTCACTCTGGGTGAAATGGCCAACATTTTCAAGAGATGGTCTCTCATCCAAATACCTCTTATTAAAATGGTAAGCCACAGTTGTGTAAAGATGATGATGATGATGATGATGCTGTCTAACCACCACCTTCAGAAGATGTTATGAAGTCATTTTTGGAAGGGCATGCTATCACCCTGTCCTTGTATGACCTAGGACATTCATGTATGGCATCATTGTGTAGGATTGTAAGTTTGTAGCCATGCAAGGCTTGAACCTATAACTTGAGGTTCACCATTGTTATCACCAGCAACTGAACTCACCAGGTAGAAATGTGTTCAATTCTGTTTTATGTGACCTGACACTGAGGCCAGAAAGAGACCTGAAATCTATGTTTTACTTTGAAGCTTCATTTCCTCCCCACAGGCTGAAAACAGCTTCAGGTAGCAGTTGGTTATGTAGCTGAGACCTGCAAGAACATGCATGTGAGGATGGCTGATAACCATGGCTGTGAGGGTAACAGGTGTGCTACAACAAGCTGACGATTAGGATAAAGACACTTGAGGCAGAATGGCAAACAGCACCAGGACAATCTCATGTGTTGGCAAAATTCTCCACCAAGAGAATAGAAGGTTCTCATCAGATTCCAACATCATGAGTCAAAATCACTCCCATGTACTGAGCTCTTTACTCTAGAGCAGGCATAGGGTACTAAGTGCTCTACAAACATCCAATCTGCATAAGAGCCTTAAAACAGAAGTACATTGTTCAGTCCATTCCACAGATGAGAAAACCAAGCTTTTGGAAAGGCCAATCTACAGCGCAAGGAGTGGCAGATCTGGAATTCAAAGTTAAGCTTTTCTGACTCAAGTATCTATGATTTTTATCACCATACTATATACATTACCTTTAGTAGCAGATGAGGAGACATAGTTTTGGGTAAAGAGGCAGCAGAGAATGACATCAATGTAAGTCAAGAGATTTACTCATTCATTCAACATATTTTTAGTTATTTGTTCTATTTGAGAAATTGTGCCCACCTGGATTGGAATCACTAAAATATCAAAGGATGTCAGGTAGCAGGACCTGGAGACAGAGTAGAGAGCAGCAGAATTCCAGAACATGCTCCCTCAGTGAGAGAATCTGCCCATTGAGCCGCTCCAGCAATGGGCTGTTCCACAGGGAACAACAGCAGGCAGAGTAACTCAGCAGGTGACCAGGAAGAGGTTGCATCTCCAGCACAGGTGTCTGTTATCTTGTGCAGAAAAACCACCTCAACATCCAGCAGGCTCTGGGAACAGGAAGAGGGACCTAATCCAAGGAATGGGTCCTCCCTGCACATGTTGTAGAAAGGACTGCTGGCTTACATGGGTAAGTGGTGGGGATGTGAGGTATGGGCCCCTTCAACTACCAACGTTCCTAAACAACGCTGAAAATGCCCTTAACTGACTAGATCCTAGGGGCCTGCCTTGGGAGAGAGAGAGAGACTCTCCTATTACCATAAAGAGCCCTACCCAACATCCTTTAAGATCATCACGACATACCTAAGGGATAAAGAGATGGAAGGGTGGATTTTCAGTTTGGTGTGTTCCAAAGTGTGTCCTTTAAAAACAGGGTGACTGCTATATCCTGGTTTGCCAAAGACAGCTTTGGTATGCTCATGCTGTCCTGGGATAATTAAGTGTTCCATTTCATTCTTAAAAATGTTCCAGTTTGGACAATAAGCTAAATGGTCACCTAACCCAGAAAACCACTTCTGTGGCTATGAGTAGCTGTGTTCTTCTCTGAACCTATAACCTCCCTATGTTGTAAACTTCAAAGAATGAAATGTAGTATAAAAACTATGTTGATCAAGAAACTTAAAAGGAAAATATATGTTATCTTCTGTAACTACTGTTGTGTTACATACAACTTGGGAAATACTGTATTAAATAATTAAACAAGTTTGGTTGTTGTCAAAACATATGGCTTCCCCAGAGATTGAATACAGAATGTCATGAATATACGGTGGAGGGTCGTTTTTTACAAATGGGCAGTTTTTCCAAACTTAAGACATTTCATGAAAAAAAGGTTTTAAGAGGCCAAGGTTTACAAAATTATCCGTTTCTTCAACAAATAGGAGCGCTTAGTGTGTCCAGGAACTGTTCTAGGTCTTGGAGAGCCATCAGTGAACAAGAAAAGTCCTTGTCCTCATGGGGTTTACATTCTAGTGGAGGACACAGGTAATCTGTAAACAAATACTGTAATTTTGGATTTAGGTCATTGGAAACCAATGATCTATCACCCGAGTGATTGAGAGTCAAAAACCAAACATCTGCCAATTCTGAGTATTCATGAAGCAACCTGTCTTCAGACATGAGTTAGCATTTGACAGACATGAATCATTGCTATCAATGGGTACTATGTTTTCTTAGTAGAAACAAGTCTCTTCCCACTCTTGAACTGAGTGACTTTTATCATTCTTGTTAACATAAATGTGCCTTTGGGCGAGTTCATCTTTTGTTAGCTTCTGTTCAGGGCCTATAGTCATAATATATACCTTTACTATTCTTTTCTGTCCTAACTAGACCGAATTGTTCTTTAAAATAGCATCACTTTCAAAGGAGATGTTTATAATTGCCTAGTATCCAGGGAAAAAATTAGAACAAATGGAAAGTTATTCCATTCTGTGCCACACATACCACCCCCTAGGGCTGGGATGAGGGACAAGGGGGTGCCTTAAAAAAAAAAAAAACATGCGCATGCACACAAAAAAACCTCCTACCCTTTGATTGATTCTGTGCAGAATAGAGACTCATATTTAAATGAATAAGCCAAGTTAAAACTTTCCCTCCTGGAACAAAGCAAAAGGAAAGCCTCTTTATGTTGCAGGGGCTATAGATGCCACGGGCTGAGCCTGTCCCAAAGCTTCCCTCCACTGCTCAAAAACTAAGCCATCTTGCTGCATTTAGCACTTCTCACCAGACCACCCACCCAGACGCGGATACACAAACCACATGTGTGAGGAATGCTGTTCGGCTAGGAAATCAGTATCACTATTTCAACCTTATTACTTGCACAGACGGCCCTTTTAGTGCAACTCATTTGTTTTATCTTTTCAATAGCTTTGATTATTTTCTTTTAATGGCCTGGATTTATCCTTTTCTACCCTTTTGAAACTTCAGAACTCTGTGGTGCGGGCTGCATGTGGTGGAAGACATGATTACGAGGGGAAAATGAGCAAACAGCTTTGCCTTTACTCCCCCGCCTCCCCATTCCTTGGGGCCATCTATTCTGTGCAGATTGCCCAGTGCCCTGAGTGATTATAAAAGTGGACTCAGCAGCCTTCCCATTCAGGTGGTAGGCTACTTCTGTTGTTACTTAACAGTTATAGGGCCCAGTTATAATTACTGAAATGTCTTTTAGTCTGTGCCATGTGTTTCTCTCTCTAGCCCTTGGGAACCATATTGGTTACCCTCTTTTAATTAAGGGGAAATGAAGACCAAGAGGCTAAGCTGACAGCCCAGGGCAAGCTAACAACCTCTGGAAAAGACTGGAAATGGCACTACAAAAGGGGACCACATAAACAGGAAGGTGTGGATACTGTTACCTGGCAGAAAAAAGCAGAAGCCCTGGAATGTGCTCAGGATTTTCTATTTGGGTGGTATCTGGGCAAGGAAACCCATAAAATACCCTTTAGTTGCTCTGCTAATCAGAATAAACAAGTCCATTAATTTTGGACACTATGTCCCTGGATTCCCAAGAAGACAGGTCTGGGTGTCAGACCTTGGTTGAGCTGCCATCTCTCTCTTGGACCCCTTGCCCATCCAGGTGGGAACGCCATTCTGCGAGAGCTAGTGGAACAAATGTACTGGGGCAAACCCACCCAGTATACCTTGTGAGAGCACTTGGAGATGGCATCTTGACTTTCTTTAGCACGCCCAAGCTGCCCAGCTTGACTTCCTCCTCACTGGAGAAAATGCAAGACTATTATTTGAAAGTAAACAAATGGGTTATCTAGGTTCAAACAAGGGAAGAGATTCGTCCAATTCGAGCATGGTCATTAGAAAGCTCAGCTGCCAGCCAAGCCCATCTGGGACTGATGCTTCCACACCTAAAATCAGCTCCTAGTTGATAGCATACAAGGCAGCCCACTGTAATCTCAATGGCTTGTCAGCCTGAAGATAAGGTGACTTTCTTAAATTTGCTGTAAGTCTCTTTACTATGAACTAGAGCATTATATCCAATTCCTGGGTTATTTGCCAAACTTAAAGTATTCTATTCTCTTTGAAGTAGAGCTTCTTCTTCCCGTCTAATCAAGGTAGCACTTCTTGCTGCTCAAGTAAATGCAGAGCCTTTGACGGACTTTGTCTAGTGATAGCACGTTGTTTAATTTATGTACCAAACCTTCCAGAGAAATATGGGGAGAGAGGAAAAATGCCATGTACAAGCAACCTGGTTTATTCCAAGACTGTGCCCCACCATTTCTTACCCTGTCTCTGCAGAGCTTAAAAAAAAAAAAAATGACTGTTTTTAGGAATACAGAAAATGGTACTAGACCCTGGGGACTCAAAGATGAATGGGGGGCTGGACCGTGCCCTTGCTGGTTCTTATCTCTCCATTCATTCTTCTGCAGGACCAGCATCACTTCTTGAGAAAGGCCCAAGAGCTCATTTTCCCCTGTATGTAAAGCGAAAACCAGACTCTGCTCAAATGACTCTTACCAATCAGTAAGACTATACATTGTAAAGAAAACAGATAGATATGAATTTAAGTAAAACACCTATTTCTGTCAATCTGTACTTATATTTCAACATGGGTTTTAGAGATGGGAAATACATCTTACGAATGCCTTGTAGTTCACATAATAGCATCTACACACACACATACATAGTGTATCTTTCAACATAACTACACATACACACTCCATTAAAAAAGATACTGACAGATTTAGAAAACGTATTGGCCTTGCACTGTTAATCTCAAGAATACATTTTTGCTTAATTTATTTTTGCACTGCACAGTAGCTCTGGCCACCGTGAAGGATCTGTCAGCATTTCCATCATAACTCTATTTGCAGATACTGGAGTACAAGTGCCAAAATACATATTTACAGTTTACAGACAGCGGTGGCTTTGTCTTCCTTTTAAATTGACTTCTTCAATGCATCTTTACAAGGAATATCCAGGGATGGCAGTGCCTACATGATCAAAAGCATCATATAACACAAAAGGGGTCAAAGATATAGACTTCCAGCCCAAGCTTAAACTAAACCATGGGAAGTGACTCCTCAACATTCACTGCAGCTGGAGTTGTATCTACATCAGAGTCCCAAGTGTAGAGCCACAGTCTGAAGCAACATTAGAATATGAGCATGTGCTTGTGTACGGTACATAGCGTTAGAACACAAAATGCTAAAGGTGGGACGCAATGCACATATAGCAAACTACTCCAGAGCCGATCACTTTCCAAGTGAGAAAAATCGAACACAAGCCACCAAACACGAACGCTGACCATTTCCAACACTGGACCTCCAACTTGGTTACCTGGGTAGAGTTAAAACATTTAAGAGCAAAGTCTCTTGTAAACAAATATATTAACTTATTAACATGTGTGGGACTTGAAACGAACAGTATGTGGGATGTTATGCAGGCCCAAACTGTGTTTCTCAAAGGTTAGCTTGGTTTGTACAAGGTAACAGCAGAAACATTTTTTGGTGGGAGAAACATTTTAGGGGAAGAAAACCAATTTTATTGTTTTTCTTTCCACAAAAGGAGGGTGAATAATTATTCGGATCAGAGAGATGTGCTTAGCAATTTCAAAACGTTTAGAGCACTCAGGATTTTTTCTTTTAGAGTTTTTGTACTGTGGTCTTGGGTTTTTATCCTTTTCCCTACTTTCACACAATATGCAAACCTATGTGGACACACTTATTTGTTTACAAAAAGGTATAGGGAGAGGTAGACAGTCTTGTTGCTAACATAACTGCTCTATGCTAACTCACATGGAAGCATCCCCTCTCATACATAATGCTGCTGCAAAACCAGACGCAAGCCCATTTATAAGAGGGGGAAGTTCTATACGTATCTTTCCCCCCGTCAAAGTACTGGAGGAAAATTTAAAGGAAGTTTCTCCTACTCTGGCTGGCTCAAACCATATTCACACCCACCCAATGATTTTATTTGAAACCTATCTATCTAAGGAACTGAACCCTGCCATTTCCCCTTTGTGCTTAAAAAAACCAAAGCCACTGTCAGGATGCACACGTGCCAAATATATTTTCTAGCAGGTTTCAACAGGGTTTATAAACACAGCAGAACTGAGTGGGAATGGTACTTGAAGAGAGTATAACTATTTGAAATTGAAAAGGGGATTTATTATTTCTGCATTTAAAGATTCGATGAGAGTGAGAATACAACGTGCAAAAGATCAACAATGTGACTCTCACTCTATTGAAATTTTGTGGAAAACTCATTTTGCTGCCTCCATGAGGATTAGTGGATGGGTAAGTTTTCTTGAGTTTCGTTATTAATTTACAAACTTCCATTTTGACGATATTCTGAAGACATCTGCTTTATTGCCTAAATTTGAGGTCTAAAGTTTATTACTGCAATAGCTTCCCTTCTCACTGTCCTTTTTTGTTTGGTTGCTTATATTTTACCTAGTTTCCTGGTAAAAGTGGTCAGAAGAACAAGAAAAACCTTCACACTGTCAAATCATTTTGCCACACAACTTAGTTACAAAAATAAAAATGGCCCCAACTACATATATACATTTCTAGTTACACTACACAGATATTTTAGTTAAACCACATCCATTTCTGGCTTATGTGGATTAGCAGTTAGAAATGTTTAAAGATTTCTCAATTTTGCAAACAATTCATGTAAGCATTGCCCTCCCCTTTCATCTGCAAGGTTAAAAACAAAACCAAACACAACTAAAACCACGCCTAAAACCACACACATCAGTCACCTAATGTCCAAAATGACTCCAAAAGTTTCTCTGGAGTTAAACATTGAGAAGGGGACGCACAACAAATGCTTCAAGGACTGTTCATGCCAACCATCAAGAATAGTAATGTTACCGAAAAAGTCCACTTGTCCTTGGGGAGGACGCTTCAGAAGTAATTTACAAGGAGCATGGCTGTATTATAATTTTTTAAAGGAAAAAATAGTGTCTTTGGATAGAAAGAAACAATGTAAAAAAAAATCCCCTTTTTAAAATGCAGAAATAACTTCATTATCAATCTGCATTTACATTACTGCCCAAAAGAATGGGTCTGGAAAGACCATTTTCTGTACAGACACTAGTTAATCTCTGTATGAAAAGACAGCATCTGGCATGGGAATAAACAAGGGAGAGCCTAGAGACTGGTCTATTCGCACACATAGAAGCTTTCTTAAGGCTGATCCAGTGAATGAACCTTTGGATCCAGAAGTATTTCTTCATTTCCCTTCTTTTCAGTTGAGTTCCTAGCAAGAACTTGGAAGATGAGCTGTTCTCACTTGGCACATCTCCATTTATGGAGAGGATGGAATAATGACACCAAAAGGACTTTGGCTTTTTTTTTCTTTTAAAAATAATTTGCTTTCTTTTGCATGCCACAGGACAGATTTCTAGTTTTAAAACAGGGTACATCAAGAACAAAAATAGCCCCCCTCCCCAACCATCTTCATTTTTACCAATACAAGAAATCCTTCTGGAAACATAAGCAAGTGACTAAACAGAATTGAACCACTGAATCTACAAATTAATACATGATCTCTTATGGCAGAATAACCAAGAATTTTCCCCCAAAGAAAGATTTTAATTTTCCAAATATAAAAGAGTCTAAGAGGATCATACGTGAACAAAAATCTCTTATTCCAGGTTTTATGGTAAAGATGGATATAACACACTGGCAGCTGAAAAAAGCTGAAACTCTTACTAATAAATAGATCCAAATTAAGAATTTCTACAACATTTCTTTAGAAAACAGAACCAGAATTTTTTTTTTTAAAACGATGATCCTGTGGAATGCCTTTACTTCCGTATTTACCTAATATATTAGAACAGTAAAACAGACACAAGGATGTTGATGACAGCTCAACAATGCTGGATGCAGGACGTTTACAGGTACACTTGTTTCAAAGTCCTACAGGTTTATTGACTAAGGCTAGACAACAATTCATATGATCCTATTTGGTGCATTTTTCTACCATGGTCCAAGATCATTATATGGATACAGCCAAGGGCTGGGCCCCAACTTTCAGGAGAAAGACCACAAAGAAGAAAAATCAGGGTGGCAATTTGGTCCCCCCCAGTTGATAATATTTGTGTCCTGGAACTGGAAAAACAAAAGGTGGCAAATACAGACTGCAACGAGTAAAAGGACTTGGAAAAGTTAGTGGAGAGTGGCACGGTATACGAGTAAGGTCACTGGGCTTGGGATGGCAAGGGCGCTGCATTGAAAGAGCATCCGTGGGACCAAGTACTTGTGGTGTCATTCCCTCAACGACTTTAGAATATCTGTATGCGATAATAAATAGATCAGTTATGTAATAAGGCAGTGTGTTGAATATGCATTCGTCCTGTGGAATGAACCACCACAGAGAAAGATACATGATACCATACACATTCTTTAAGTTTTCTTGTGTTGTGTTTGATTTGTTTGTTTTCAAGGCTATCCAGGCTAACTCTTCCCGGGGATTTCCTTGGAGAGAAGAGTGGTCCGCTGAGGCTGGTTTGCTTAACCTCTCCTTTATCAAGAGATGATGACTGGCTTTAAAGAAAAATAAAGCTGAAGGTTGTTTGATTTTTATTTTTCCCTTTTGGTTGCATCATTCTGAGTGTTTCCATATAAACAAACCAAAAAAAAAAAAATCACAACCAAAAAAAAAAAAAAAACCCAAAAACAACAGTTTTTGATGCATCCAGTTGTTGTATCCTCAGGATGTTCCAGATGTTTCCAGGTAACTCTGTAGTTTACGGACTGTGGTTTTATCCAGCGAGCAAAGGTCAAAATCAAATGTTGTGTTTGTGATATGAAAGTGTCCAGTTTCTTCTATAAGGTTCACAATCTAGGGGAGTAAAGAAGAGAAAGAATGGGCAATAAGCAATGGATATCACAAGGCAGAGAGAGAGACAGAGAGGTGGAGGGGATCAAATATGGAACCAAGAGACTAATATTCTCCTTTATAGCAAGAGGGTCTTACAGTATTGATGGCACAGAACTATCCCTTAGCCAATTTAGTAAGCCAAAGGAATATTATCCTTTTGAAATTCTCAACGAGAACAGATTACCTATTCTCTTCATTCACATCCTTTAGATGGATTTCTCCTTTCAAGTCATGTTTTACTATAAGTGTGGTTATGGAAGATACAATTTCAAGATTCTTTTAAAAATTAGTTACTGACTCAATGGATAATGACTATACTTACTAGATGTAAGAAAATTCCATCCTAGAAATAACAAGACTCCTTATAAAATAAAGTATACACACACATATAATAATGATCATTTTTCTTTCTGATTATGTTATTGAAAACTCAAAGTACAAAGCCCAAAAAGGGAAGAAGAGAAACCATCTATAACCCTACCCGCTGAAGACCATGGGTGGTTACTGGAAGGGGGCTGGAAGTGTTTTGTTGCTTGATTTGGGTGCTGGTTATAAAAGATGCATTCACTTTGTTAAAATTCACCTAGCTGTACACTTTGTTATACCACAACAAAATGAATAAAAACATCTATTTATTACTTACAGTCATGTTCAGTTTATTCCCTTGGATATTTGAGGTTAATAAGTATTATCTACAAAAAGAAAAAACATTTGTCTCTTCGTGTGGGATAGTCTTCCTTCATTTCTTACTGTGTGGGCTCCAACTGTCAGATATAAGATAAAAATTGTGGCAGAGGTACTCATCTTGCCTTGGCTTTCAAGAAGATACATCTAAGGTTCCAATTTTAAGAATGTTGTTGGTTCCTGGTTTGAGAAAATCTTGTATCATGTTACGTGTCTTGCCATTCTTATTTTACTAATAATTTTATCAGAAACAGACACTGTGCTGAGGTAGCATGGACTTCAGGTAAGTATGTTGTGTGTAAAGTGGGATGGGGGTTAATTTTAGCAAGCTTTGTGGGGGAGAGAAAAAAATAGCATCAGGATGAAAGAAAAAATATTTGCACTGAGAAAAGTGGCAAACTTTTCTACTTATTTTTAGTTGTCTCTGTAACCGCCCTCCTATCACTTGCTTCTTATTTTCTTTAGTTCAATAACCTCAAAAAAGAGAACAATTTTAATTATTTAGGCTATTTATTCAATGGAGTTTTAGATGACCTAATTACAGGTGGAAAATAGCAGAAAGGAAACTTTTGACCCTCTCTTCTTAGGATTAGTTTTCTTTAAAAAATAGTAAATTTGTGAACTATTCCCTATGGGTCAGTGGGTCTCAAAAGAAAATGTGCTCCCCATTCCTGGCATATTTGACTTCCACAGAAGCATAAAAGACATGCTGAACCCCAATCCAATTAATGGCATGGCTCCAGACTGAGCTGTTACTGCCTTACTCAATGTCTGGAACTCTTCTTTATAAATAGAACTATGGGTTTCATAATAAAACACGTTACTCTTACTATGAAATCATGACAGATACAGCAAACTGCCTACTGACTATACTTTTGTCCCCCCCCCCTTTTTTTTAATACTAATAGAAGCTTGATTTTTCTGGAAGTAACCACAAGCCCAGCTAAAACACTTGCCTCCCAAGATGCACTTGCAACATACAGCAGATATTGCTACTTAAAATTTGTCAAAAATCACTGGGATTTCAGGACAATTTTTGAAAAGAATATAGACCATGAGTATGTGTCTTCTGGCCTCTGTCCCCTGTTCCTGTCTGGAATAAAGATGGAAGCCTAACTTCCCCTTGACAGGATGAATGCAAGATGGGAAGGCTGGCAGAGCAGGACAGTAAGGAGTCTATGTCCTCACTGACCTCTTTCTTACTTTAAAGCAGTGGACCCAGGCTTCTAGTGCTAGATCACGCATCAAGAGAATCCTAGAAAGGGTGTTCCCAGGTATCGTTAAAGTACTACATTCACATAAGAACTTGTTGAACTTTGACCTTTGGATAAGTCACAGACACACATCCACATACATGCAGAGATACACACAGCCACGTCCAGGCACGAACTTGTCAAGGCAATCAAATACTTAATTCAGTTGATGCTAAATACATACTAACCATACTTTCCAGCGTAAATTATCTATTTTTGTGATACTGAAATACTATAGTAGAGCCTTTCATTCAATTCTGTATACCTATAAAAATACTATAGGGCTAGTGAAAATGTGTAATCTTCAGGACAGAGAAAAAAATAGGCTTTGAATGTACACAATGAAGGCAAAAAAACAATTATCCCAGAGTGTGACCTCTCTCTCCAACTAACTGGCCAATAGGTAAGTTGCCCAAGCATTCAGAACGGAGTCCCAAATCTCGTGTATCACTTCCGACTCTGCTCACTATCTGAATGGCAATGTACAAAACAGTATAACCTGAGCCCCTGTTTCTTTTTCATCTCCTAAATGGGGATAACTCCACCTGTTCTACCTATTACATAGGTTATGCAGAGGATCAAATAAGATAATAATAGGATAAATAAAGCTTCTTTATAAACTAAATTGCTACAGAGATCAGGGCAACATGATTATGATCAACATACAACTTCTCCTTAATGATCTGGGAGGTAACTGTACAACACATGAACTATCAACCCAGTGCTTTCTCCGCCTCCCCTCATTGACTATTAGCCATTTCATTAGCACTAAAACAAATGAAGCAGGGAAAATGCCAGAAGCTAAAATTCAGAAAAGGCCCACTTGAATTAAAAAAAAATAATAATTACAATAAAAGTTGCAGGGGTAAAGGGAGAATAGAAGATGAAGGAGAGTAGTGACATCACAATGTAGGGGCAAAGTAGAGTCCTATATTTTCCCTTTGAAATGGTAACTCACTCCTTTAGGAAGATAGCTTTCTGTGACTCAGTATAGCTGCTAATTACCAATAAGAAAGCACCAATAAAAATACCTTCTAGAAAAAGCCACTTGATTTGAAAGCAAATAAACCCACTTGCCTGCTAGGAAACTGGGTATCTCACAGGCTGTGGACTGTCTCATAGATTTCCAGTGCTTGGATGACAGGCCTTCCTACCTCTTCCACAAGCAACAACCCCACCCTCACCTGCAGCCACAAACACACAAAGAAATGGAGGGGAATCTGATCAATCTCACTCAATGAGCCTGTAAGAGCTTGTAAGAATACATCAAGTAGATGCTGAGATGGCCTTAAGGTAGTAGTGGTCATAGTGGCACAGTCAAGGTGTTAGGGACGATTTGCCAAAGGGAATGGCATTAATGACTTGAATTATTAGAGCATGTACCCACATTCTCAATTAAGTAAAGACTTCATAAAGAAAAATAAATGTGGGTTCCCTTCCAGGAATCCTGATAGTTAGAACATCAGAAGCATAGCATTAACATGCTTATTCCAATGACACAAGCCACAAAGCCTAAAAACATCCCACTGGTCCCTGAAGGATGCCTCTCTGCCTCACTACAGGAATCGCCTTGTACTGCTGATGTGGTGTGGTTCTACCTTGCTGGTGTCACCCTGCATCATCCTGCAATAATGAATATCTCCCCAAAATAATAATGATGAAAGACAGAGTGATTGTAGATAAGAAGGTAAGAGCACATGACGTGGATGCTTAGTGGAGAAGTAAGAGTATCTCAACTACTTGACTCATTCTTCCAATCCTGGTCATGGTGAAAACATTTGTGATGGATTATTTCCTGCCACATTAGCCTTTTAGGGGGTACAATGCAGGCTGTTTTTTTGTTTTTGTTTTTTCATTTTTTTTTAATTGGAGTTCAATTTGCCAACATATAGACTATCACCCACTGCTCATCCTGTCAAGTGCCCCCCTCAGTGCCTGTCACCCAGTCACCCCAACCCCCTGCCCACCTCCCTTTCCACTACCCCTTGTTTGTTTCCCAGAGTTAGGAGTCTCTCATGTTCTGTTGTTTTTGTTTTTAACAGGGTAAGGTCTACTTGTTAAATCTGTTGCTCTTTCCCCCAACCCTAGTTTTCAATCATAAAAACAGATGCATTATTTTTAGTCTAATTATATTTTAAAAAAATCAGAGTTCTTTCTGCCCAAAAGCAGCCCTCTCACTGAGGGGAAGCAATGAACAAGCTTTGCTTTAACCACTGCTGCCAGCAGTGGATTCAGGTCTGGGAGATACTAGGTCTTCCTGTAGAATCGCCTTGGGTATGGACGGGAATATGCTGCTGTTTATGGTGGGACTGCATATGCCCTACCTTTGGTGAATAGGCAGGCCATCAGGATCCTAGCTATAAGGGATTCTGTAACATGAGGGCAATTTCCCAAGATGGAGGTAATCTTCAGCAGAACATTTCCCAGGGAGGGTTCTCCATGATGTTAGAAGGAATACTCTAATATACCACTCATTTCCCATCTCCACGAAGATCATTTTAAAAGTATAGCAGCTGTTATCTACACTGTGAACCTGTCTTCTAAGAAAGCCCTGGTTTCCCTTAGAACTTTTTCTTCATTCTAAGATGCCAAACCCAGACTCAGAGCTCAACTGCTAGGGAGGTTAGAAGTGCTCCATTTTCCTTTCCAAATCAATGTGGAATGCACAGTTTGAAGAAAAATCAAATTATGAGTCAGTCCAGGGTACTCAGATCTCTGGGTTTGACTGCATCCCCTGTATTGTATTTTTACCTTAAGGAAAAGTGGCTTAAGAACACAGGCTCTCTTGATCTAGTGCTTTCTGCCCATTAAGCTAGATGCTGGGTGCCAGTATTGCATGTCCCCAGAGTAAAACAAAGATATTAACCACTTCTTGTGAGCAAAATAAAACTGTCAGAGCAGAGTTTTTGATAGGATGTGTTTAATAGTAAAAGACCTTGGATGTGCTCCTGGCCTCACCAGAAATCTTGTCACAGGTGCTCAGGCCCGCATGGCAAGAATACATCGACTTTGCGGAATGCATTCCACGAGATGAGCAGCTCTCGAAGTGGAGAATAACATTAGTCCTCAATAGTGCTATGTTTTACAATAGGAATTAATTAAGCAGTAAACCGTGACAGGACATGCATCATGGTATCATAATCACAAGCCTCAGCTGCATTGCAAGGCAAAAGGCCAAAGACTGAGAGCTTTCAACTGGCCTGGGAATGCAATTAGGCTGAAACGCTGTGTGTCCTGGAGCGCCTTGATGCCAGGCTAAAAATTCATAGCCATCACTCTCTCCCTCTACGACACTAAAGTAATCCACTTCTTGAGTAAGCCACCTTCCCTCACGGTTCTTTCAAAGGTCAAATTAAAAGGACAATGTGAAATTGGGAATGCCAATGACACCCCAAGGTAAGAGCCTGCCAATGGCCTACTTCCTGCACTCACTGCCTGAGCCTTCTTTGTGAAGGTGTCTCAACCCTGCCCAAACATCTGTTTCACTCTCCTGTGAGACTATTTGGGCCCAGCTTATGCATTCATAGCTTTATTGGACAATTGCTCCACAGTGGTTCAGAGCTGGAGCTTAAAAAGAGATAGGAAAGGATGGGAATATCAGCTAATAGATTTAGCATCACCATTCAGTCATTTAACCCCACATAATTGGTAAATGGCAAGCTGAACAATTTTCTTTTCTACGAAAGAATGTTGAAGAAAGATACTAGCAGAGGACTAGAATAATTCTTAGGGTGAAGCACTCCAATCTGTTCCCTACTCATATTCACTTAAATGGAAATGCAAGAAATGCAACTCATCCCAGTTAAGAATCATAGGTCTGTAATGTTCAAATCTGAAACTCTAAAAGGGTTTAAAAAAAGAAAAAAAGAAAAGAAAACCTATCCGACAAATCAGGGAACTTGGCAGATTTGAGAACGCATATTTAAAGTTTTCAGCAAAAAATGTACACAGATCAGAATATAAATGTGATCATTAGCCATTAAACATTTAAAAAATAATAATCCACACACAGCTGGGATATATTAAATACTACTTTAAGTCATTTGAAAGTAGTAATAAAACAAAATTCAAACAGTGAACTAATCTACAAACCCACCCTGGAATTTAGAGCGCCACCTTCTCTTTGGTCGTTAAGGAAGTTATTTCTCAGGAGCCACCATTAATTCGGCAAACTGAATAGTACTATAACTATAGAAAAATTAAAAAACGCCCTTATCTTTGCAAAACATCAAACTGTACTAAGAGAAGTTTCCCAACTCCACAAGTATTTTGGAGTTGAGTTCATAATAGATGTATGCTGTATAAGATAAGAGAAATGAGGAAAATATTTCTTTCTCTTAGAAGAGCACTGGCAAAAGGTTACTCCATTGAATCACAAATGTTGACAACACTTGACTGAAATTCTTATCACTGTTTTCTCATGAAACTGGAAGCTTGGCCCCAAAGGCTTTTGCATTCCCGTTCTTCCCTCCCTCGGCTCACAGGACAGTGTGAGCCAGCAGACAAATCCAGGCATCCCACCAGCACCGTCACCTCCACAAATGCCCGGTTTTCCTCTGCTGCAACACCAGGGGAAGGAGCTCATCTATGCCAAGCTCCAGAGCAGACTTCCAGGTAGCCTCAGCAATGAGAACCACCCCCACACCCACCCAAATACTTCTGCAGGTGGCATGAGCCCAGTGTAGGGCTGGTGTGACCTCCAGGTGCTATGACACTACCCTAGGAAGAAGCAGGCCTCGTGGCTTCTGCAAAGGGATGTGCTAAAAAGCATTTCTCACCTGTTGCAGAATGTGTCTCTCTCTCAGTGTCATTAACCTTCTGTGAAGCTCTACCAGTTCATCTAGGTAGGCCTGAAAAAGAAGAGTATCCCCCCCCCCAAAGAAGAAGCATGTTAGGAAGCAATCCAAAAATAACATAATAAATAAACAGGAACATACAAGCAGCAGGTGGAGGCACTCCATCCTATGTCCCTTGCCTATGCTGTGTGGACTCAGTGCCCACGGCTCCTGGAGATCTAGTCTCTCGTAGTTATGGTTACAAAGCCAGCTGTTTCATGAAGGGCAATTCTTGGCACTTACTCTCAACAGATTCAAGGAAGCAGACCCACTCTTTCCCAGTAACCCTCATCTATAGGGAAAAGGGGTACTCAATGGTAAATTGTGAGTCTAAAAATATTAGCACAGTTTACTTTTTTTTTAATTCTTTCATCTCAGAAGATTTTTAACTAAGAGAATAAAAGTCTAAATTTGAACATGGAAGTATAAATACACAACCAATTATCTCAGGACAAATTCTTAAAAAAAATAAAAAAATAAAAAATAAAAAATAAAATAAAAAATAAAGCTTTCCTGGTTATACCTAACATGGCCAGCCAGTAAACAGCAAGTAACAGAAGAGAATATCTTCTGAAAAACCAAGATGACTATCCAAATTAACATCTGGAGCTCCTCTGCAGGGGCAGAAGCACACCTCTCTTCCCATATGCTCAGACTCAGGAATCTTTGTTAACATAACTGTATGGGTTTTCCTAGCGCCTCTGTTTGCAATAAAGGCAAAGGCAAGGTTTGTGAAGCTTTGGTCAGGCCTGCCCTGATTCCGCAAAGCACATTATGACCCTGCCCACAACAGGAGACTAACCTGCAGCAGGTCTTAAAGTCAGATTTCCACTGCATGATACACACTTGGAAGGCCAGTGTGTGATACACACCAGGATCAGGCGTCCCTGCTCATTTATGGCTGAGATTCCTCAATCCTCTACCTTTAATGTGATTTTCTGAACTCCGAAGTCAATGTGCCTGAAACCCTTGGCAATGCGAGCTTCATGGCAAAAGGCAGCCTAAGGGCCCAGAGTAACACTGAAGATATAAGCGAGATTTGGAGAACAAACTACAGAACGCCAAGAAGGTTCACCATTTGGGGGTGTGGGGCACCTCTGATGAAGACAGGGAAGGGGAGCCACCAAGGATGGTCAAAGGAAACACAAGGAGAGGGCAGCCAGTCCATGCTGCAGCAGTCTCGGAAACACCCTGGAAACCTACCTTGTCACATTCACCATTCTTTATTTGCTTATCTGATTTGCTTTGCTTTATTGGACTTTTCACTTCAAGAATCTAGGGATCAAAGAAAACACTGTTAAATTTGATTTCAGGCACTTCGTAGCAAACCGGCCCCCTAAACAAAGGCACTTATGCATGAAATGTCATACAATGATATCAGTTTCCAAACAGCACTTCTCCTCTATACATTTTCTTTCTTCTCTTCTAATCTCACTCTTTCTTGGAAAATAAAGAACTTCTATCTGAAATGCTGAGTCAGGGCAATAGACTTAAAAAAAAAAAAAAAGAAGTTGACGATAAGAAAATTGATCTAAGCTTCCAAGGCTGCTGCTTTTTTTGTGACAACACTCTCACACATATGCACAGCAGCTGAGTTATACTGTATTATATAGTCCCCTCTGGCAAGAATTTTTTCTCATTTATTCTGCTGTTTCAGCATGACAACCAGTGCTCAGCATGCTAGGGATGATAGAGCAAATACTCCAATACCCTTTTTAGTACCTGACTTTCAGATTCTAAAAATTACTCATACCCACTAAGTGGATGCAGCTTTGGAAATGAAGATGGCCATCAGCTACACTGCTCCCAACTTGGGATCCTCCAACTTAAGAAATAAAGAGGCAGGACTATCTTCCATGGTTCAAGAATTTTGTATTTATAGCCATGATAAAAAAAACCAAGGGTCTGTCCTTTCATCTGAACCGATCACAGCTTTGAGTATGAGTAGTAGTTTGCATACTGCTTAGAGGCTTCCATTGGGGAACTAGGTTTCTAATGACTAAGAAGGAAAAACAAATTATTATTTAATAAATACAGTTGGTTTATTAGAGTCCTCAAAATTGAGGATCATAAGGGAAATATTTTTAAATGAGCCTTGTTTAAAATCGCTGAGATCCACTGAATTTATTGATGAGTGTTTACAAATGTATATAAACATAAAAAGCCGAGTAATTTGTCTTTTTCATGATAACCTCATTACCAACTGAGTTATAATCGGAAGCTAATATTAAGGAGGAAAATGCCAAATAAAAGATATATTTAAGAAGTCTCATATTCCTACTGCTCTTCTTTGTCCATTCTCTGGTCTCACACTCACTCACTCATATACACACCATCCTGTTCAGAAGTCTATCATATTCCATAACACAAAAGTGATTTTAAAAGAGCCCACTCTTTGTTTGTTGTGGAGAAAGCCCTAATTGGGCTCAGAAAACTAAGTTCAGGTTTTAGCTCTATTATTTAACATTTTTTGGATCTCAAAAAGAAAAAAAAAAAGAGAGATGAAATATATGAGATGAACAAGATAATGTCCAGATTTCCATTCAGCTATAAAATGTTACACTACCAACAAACATTTTACCTGTTGGTATAGGACCGTGACATTCTGGAGAAGACCAAATACTTCTAAAAGGGTATATTTTCCTTTGAATTTAGAATAATGCATGGGTAAGAAGTGAGCTTCAATAGAGTCTTTCCTGAGAAAGCCTCTATTTCTTCATTTTTAACATTAAGATAACCAGATGACCAATCTGACCAGGCTCGCTCACTTAAAATACAATACTTTGGGCAACACAAGGAAATTACTTAATCACTGGGGCAAGGCAATCATTTTTAACATGTCGCACTGTAAAGGAAACCCAACACTCCCCTACGTTCAGAATTTCCTTCTCTATTGTTGTTGGAAATGAGACCTCAAGGGGAAACTCCGAGCTCAGAGACCTAGGAATAAGTAGGTCAGTAGATGGCACTCCTCGCCAACTCAGACAAGCGGTTGGGCAAAGCAAGACAATCTGCTGAGATTCCAGGCCAGAGAGAAAAACAGCGCCTGTACGCTTGCCTTGTGCATTAGAAAACTAAATTGTATTGCCATCATATCCCACTCTGCACCCCCTTGCCATTCCCCAAGTCACTGCACTCCGGGGGATCAAAGTGACTAAGGATTCTGTATTTGTAAGGCAACTTTGCTAACTAGGTTTAGAGTTCTACCACCACTTCAGAGCAGAAAATAGAACATTCGGGGCACTTAAGTCCCACCCTACACATTCCGTAAGTGCTACAGCACAGAAGGCCAAACTACATTGAAATCCTAGTTTCTTTCTTCTGAAGCTGCAGTGGCAGGAACAAAAGCTCCGGGTGTCAGTGATCCGCCTCAAGTTACTGAGTGGCTGCCCAGAGAGGGCTCAGTTAATCTTCCTTCTTTGATCTCTCCCTGCTCCAAAATAAACAGCTTTGTCAAAACTTCATTCTGGGAGAGCTGAACCATGTTGAAGACAATTGTTTTATTTATGATCATTTCTTATCTTTAAGGAAACGACTCCAGAATTTAAAACTACAGCACCTTGTCTTCCATGAGCTTATTTCAAACCAGTTCAACTGGATAGACTCTTTAATTTCATTCCACATGCCTTGCAGGCTGATAGGTAATTTATGATATTCTGAATATTAACTTGGGTCCAATGGATCACTTCCTCCCCTCAAGGCCTGTAGCCCCCAACCCCTTTCTCCTCATACTTTCGGCCAAAAGGGATCTGGAATTTTGATTTTGTTTGAAACTCAGGTAAGGGAGGTTTGAAGTTTAATAATAATACACACACACACACACACACACACACACACACACACACACACTCCTCTGGTTAAAATGGCACAGCACTCACTATTATTCCCTATTAAGCTTTACTGAAGGCAACAGCTACCCAGATGGCCAAGATGCACCATTTATATCCATGGTCATCCCCTAAAACAGAATTCAGATTAGTTGCACCTCAATCCTTAATCTGAGGATATGGCTTAGAATCAAACATTTAAGATTATTTTTCTGTATCTCTTTGTGAGGACTGACAACTCAATTATTCAGCAGCCTGGATTCTCTACTAATGGGCCTTTCATGTTAATGATCCAGTTGCTCCTAACAATACTCAGGTTAATTACTAGCTTTGTTGACATGTGTCTGCCTCTGTCTGTTCACTGTTTTTCCCAAAGTTAGAAAATGTCTGATTCAATTAGCACTTTCTCTCTTCCCTCGTCCCTGGAATATTTGAGAACGAGTAAGGAAAACTCAGCTTTGCCTCGAAATTTACAAAAATTTCAGAGATCATTATCAATTTGCAGACAGAGAGCAACCAAGGAAACTCCTACGAAGGTCTGTGAAACAGGAAGTCTGTTTTCATTGATTTTATTTGATGTGAAATATCAAATTCTCACACATACAGTCAAATGAATACTGAAAATGCATTCTAGGGTGAAATTCAGGGGGCTTTGATATTTTTAAGAAATTCTTACTCTTTCACTTCACCAGCATGAAGAACCAAGGAAGATTAGCAATTTTTTAAGAAGTCCTAGAACACGGATTTAAAGGGATATAGCAACACACCTGACCCGATGCAGGTAACTTGAGGGGTTAAGAAACCAATACAAAGTTTTAAAAACCTTTTCTTGCTCTCTCAGTTCCAAGACAGCTTCAAGGAGGTAAGTGCTCTTGTGATACTACATGTATTTCCTACCCTAGACTAGCTAAAAGTGAAAGCATATGGACTGTCTTATTATGCTTATAGGTGCATGGAGGAAGTGACATATAACTGAGTATTCCTGACAGATTGATGATTCACATGTGTGAAGCTACATTTGTCGAGTAAACATATGCCAAGAAACCAGTGGTATGCTATTTAATTGGATAAAGTAATTTTTACCCTCAGCACATAGATGATACCATTCATTTTTTTAGTCTTGTTTTGCTAGACAGGCTTAAAAAAAAAAATCCAAAACTTTCCCTGAAGCCAAGATTTGAGCCAAGTCAACTCAGGACTGCCTATCCAGGAAATGTTTAGGGTGGTTTGAAAGGCAACACTGGGGGCTTCATGGAGCTGGTTTATCAGTCTAACCCCTCCATGTGGGAATGAAGCTCAAGGGGCTTAAGAGGGGGACACCTAATGCCCCTAACTCCTGATAGTTACTGCTACTGCCCATGAAGGACCCTGATTCATTCTCATTCTATCACACACACACACACACACACACACACACACACACACACACCACCGGAAGCTCCAAAGGTTTAAATTAAATATGCAAATATATGCAAAGTCCAAATTCTATCCCTTTGCCAGCTTATATACTGAAGCACAGATTTACAAAAGAAACTCAAGTTATCTAGTTAGCCAGCCCAAGTCTCTTCCCAACTGATTGGTGATGATGTGGTTCTGCCCTTAGTCTTTACCTGCCCCAGAAGTGCTTGATGTGTGGTGGTAGGCTGTCATGCCAGAGGGGAGAGTTGGCCGGCCCAGGGCCAAGGGCATGGCTGGCACTGGAGCTGGGGAATGCATGGTGTGCAGGGAAGTAGGGTCAGGAGTAAGAATGTACTAACTCCTCAAACAGCCAGTCTGTAACAGATGATGAGGCTGGGCTTGCATTCACATGTAGGCCACAAAGAAACTGCAGTTGAATAAAAGTGGTGAGGTAGAGAACACTGATATTATTCCTATTCTACAATGAAGGAATAGGAATAAACTTAAGTTGTGGATAAACTTTATAAATGAGGTATTCTAAATGAGGTATTCTAAATTTTAAGAGATCTTATGATTTATACAAAATTTTATTTTATTTTTTTTATACAAAATTTTAAAAGAAAAAAATCTTCTGCTATAAAAAATCATATTTTCTCAGTAAAGCAAAGATAACAAATTCAAGGACAAGGCTGTTTAAAATTGTAGGACATCTGTGAAAGAGAATAATTTCAGAAAAGTGCAGTTCTTTTAAGTTCATAATATTCATAAGGTAACTTGGATTAAGCAATTATTCTAGAGGTCACAGGGAACCTGCCTAAACAAAGAGATAAGAATAGCTTATATAAATGAGTGTATCAACTCAATGCACTATGAGGGTTTTATAATATTCATGATACTTGAAATTATTTTAGTATTTAAAATATCCCAGTCTTAATCATTTGTTTAAGAAAAGCTCTTCATCAAAGCCTCCAAAGTTTTGCCTAGACCTCATCCAAAAACTACATTCTGAATGGACTATTAAATTAATAAGGCTTCTTTCTGCTCGATTTATAATAATGATAATGACCATTATTCGCATTTTATTAACTATTCCTGGGATCCCTGGGTGGCGCAGCGGTTTGGCGCCTGCCTTTGGCCCAGGGCGCGATTCTGGAGACCCCGGATCGAATCCCACGTCGGGCTCCCGGTGCATGGAGCCTGCTTCTCCCTCTGCCTATGTCTCTGCCTCTCTCTCTCTCTCTCTGTGTGTGTGACTATCATAAAATAAATAAAAAAAATTTAAAAAAAAACAAAAAAAAAAACAAAACTATTCCTTACAATTCCAAATGATGACCCTCCTTCCTTGGATGACCACACAGAGGCAGAACACCTACAATAATAAGCATGGCCACAAGCTCTTTACAAATATGGTATTTGTCATCATTCAGAGAACTGGAAGGGCAGGTATTAATATTTCCATTTATGGATGAGGAAACAGAATCAAAAGTTAAAAGTTCATTTCCCACCAGTACATTACTGTAAATTAGTAAAACAAAGAACCAGGCTGAGCACCTGGGTGGCTCAGTCAGTTAAACAAAGGCAGATGCCTTTTGCACAGGTCATGATTCCAGGGTCTTGGGATTGAGTCTCACTCACACTGGGCTCCCCACTCAGAGGAGAGTCTGCTTCTCCCTCTGCTCCTTCCTCCCTGCTCATGCGTGCACGGTCACGGTCCTCTCTCTCTCTCTCTCTCTCTCCCTCTCTCTCTCTCAAATAAATAATTTTTTTTTTAAAAAAAAACAAAGAGTCAGGCTGTAAACTAGCTCCAAAGATTATATTCTTTCTAAATCATTAAATTAGCCTACTTAACTGCTGGAGGGGGAAAAAAACCCACAGAAATCAGGAGCAAATGAGCAACACTTTCTGTGTTAACCCATCCAATGAAACATACTTTTCCTGACAACAGAAGTTCTTTCACCCCAACTACATGTTTATTCTGAAGGTTGTCAATTCCCACGTATTTGATATTGAGAGGGGCTTAGTTTAAATTTAAGGGATGAAAAGTTTTGTGTGTTTTGTAAAAATGATCACACTTAGTTTTGCAGAGTCTCGAAGAGTGCAAACCCAGCAATTTACCTGGTTGTTGTTGGTTTTTAATAAAGGTGGTGGGGGTTCGTGATGTAGGGGCGAAGAAGCTGAACTGCTTTCACTGTCGCTACCGTCACTTAAGCTAACTCTGAAAAGAAACAGAAGTTACATGCATAGGTACAGATAGTTATTGAATTATCTATGGAACTAGGCGCAGACAGAAAGGAATCCAAACACTAACCACTGAAAACTTGTTTCACCTCATGCAACTGCTAACACATCCCAGTGCTTACTCTGTATGGAACTGTGTTAAGTGTTTTACCTGCTATTTCTCATTTAATGACCCTTATTTCAACAGATGAGGAAACAGACTTAGATTGGATCACTCACCTGTGGTCAAGAGGTAAAAGGAATGGTTCTGGGATTCAAACTCAGGCAATGTAACCCACGGCTGGTGCACAGCCACTTTATTGTACTGGCCTCATTTATTCTTTTATCTCCCTGCTCCAACTTCACCTACCTACTATCACAAAGCGTGTTACCCAAGCCAGCCGAAGGTCAGCAAAATTAGACCATTTTTAGGTTACTACCTTCTAGTTTTCGTTCCCCCTGCCTCTCTGCTACAGGTGAACATTCTACCAAAATGGCCAGAATACAGGCTGCGGGAGTAGAAGCAACTATTGAGAATACAAACACCCCTGCATGGCTGCCAGCCCAGGGTGATGTCTGAAGATGGGCTGTGTGAAGCCCAACGTGCTGGACAGACCGACAACAATTATTTCTACAGTGTAATGACTTAAGGCTGTCCCTAGTTTTGACCTAATTGTTGCTGCTACAAGAATTCATTGGAAATATACTTCAGCAACATGAAGAGACAGTGTGTTTGGGATAACTGCTTTAGAAAAACAGAATATCTTTCAACAACCAATGACAACATAAAAATATAACGCCTCCCCTTTTTTTCTTTTCTTTTCAGAACAAAATAAAATTTTCTTTTAGCCAGGGTAGGAGATATTTCTTTATTCTACTCCACTGAATGTGTACCCCTCTTCTGAAATGTCCTTCAGTGTTTGCTCTCTTTAGCTACGCAGTCACCTAATAAAATATTCTTTTCAGAAACAGAAAATGCTTTAGAAATCAGGATAGTTTTTTTTTTTCTCTGAATAGGCAATCACATTCCAGCTCTATAATATATTCAGATAGACAAGATACAAGATAGGAAATGAAAAGGATACACTGGGACATCCTTTTAGCAAAAACTGATGGAACTTGTTTTTCTTAACTAAATTACATTAATGAAGTGTTCTGATGAAGCGCTGCTTCAAAATGCTTCTTGACTGAAGTGGAAGGTTGAGTATTTAAACTGATTAAACAGTTGAGACTTCACAAGTGCAAGGAAGACCAAATGTTACACTGGCGCTGCTGTGCTAACAGCACATGTCAGGTTGGGGGAAAGAAGTGAATCTCCAACATCGTGTGTATCACATCAGATAACTCACAAGCCTGTAGGATCTGACCTGCACTGACTCAGGGGATGGGGCAGCGAGTGGGTGGGCAATAGCCAATCATGGAATATCTAGATTTTCGAAATAACTCTAACTGTAATTTGGCTAAATGCATTTTTCATCAGGTAAGTTTGAGAGCCCACCAGCAGTGAGGATTTTGGTTGTTATAAATATGCTCATTGCCATGTTCTGGTCCATTTTTAGATCCTTCTGCCCTACCAGTTAGTTTCCTTCTTGTCAGATTAAAGAGTTCTAAGGGGAAATGTTATAATACCAAAGCTATAAGGCTCCTTATTTTCTCCTATTCAAGGAAAAAATAGAGATAGGTAAGTTTGGGAGACAAGGTGGAGAAAGAGGTATTAGGTGTGGCTACTGAGTATAGCCACATGGAAGAATCAGTGAGGGATGTGATGGGGCATGTGTACTCAGAGGAGCCCTTCTCAAAGGACACCAAGGAATTACTGATTAGAAACCATACGATCTGTCCAGTTGGGATTAAGATAGTATCCTTCTAAGGAATTTTAGGGCCTTCCACACAGTAACGGATAAAGGGAAAAGATTTAATGTGAGGTATTATAAATGTAATTGGATTTTAAGTTCAAGTAGATTCATATTTTTTCTACTCAAACCCATTAAAGTAAGCATGCCTATTTGTTTTCCTCATGATAAAGAAATAAAACCCTCAAGGCAATTTCAAGTTGACTATTAATTATAAGTGACATGAATTACCATCTTATAATGTGGAATTATGCCTCACAGCATTAAAGCTACTTAAGGAACCTAATTGTCAGCACACTTAAAAGGAATTTATTTGCTGGAAAACACACACAGGTGATCCTAGTTTTAATTAGGTCACACACATAATTCACTGAAGCCAATTATGTATTTCTAACTACAAACAGCAAACATGTCTCCTTAAATTCTGAGGTGATAGCCATGGATCGACACAAACTCTTAAAAAATGAAAACAGAGTTCATTTTAGCAGCCAGTCCTCCCACGTTGGCAGAGCCTTTCAAGAACAAGGACTACTAACAGGATGTTTTCCCTATAGAATTCTTAGAAGCAAAACCTTTTGCTTTCTGAAAAAAGGGACACACAGTTCTCTGCAGAGGTGGAGATAAACATGCCAAGGCGACCCAACTCAAATGACTGTGACCATTTCCCACCACTGTTTTTGGTGTTGCATACTTCGGCCATGGTTCTACCAGTATGTCTGGGGAAAAGGCAGGATTTCATCCCAGGGAGCTGTGTTCCCACCAAGGCACTCACCTGCGGCTTCGGCTGCCTCCTCTATTTACAGGTCTCTCCATTTCGGAGTCATTGTCATTATCCTCTGCCTCATCTGATTCCTCCTCATTGTCATCGGAATGCAGATCTTTCATTATAGACCGTAAAGGACCTGAGGAATGATAGTGAACCACAAATCAAACTATTTCATACACCCTTAGTCATAGCAGACATAGGGAACAGCTCACCAGCACTGAACACTGGCCAAAAAACCAACAACAAAACCCCATCATTACATATATTTATGCAAGTGATAAAATAAATTTGGTAGTTTCTAAAATATAACATCTAACTGAAACATTGTTGTTTTCACAACAGATGCCCCAGGATGTTTATTGGAAAATCTCTCTTTCCTAGGAATGTTTTTCTATGTATTTTTTCTTCCCTAAGAAAAATTACATCTAAAGAGGAACAGAAAGATCTATTAGTAAATTGAATGTTTTGTTAGGTTAATCCATGTATTGAAAAGTTGAGGCAAATCAATCACCGTGGTTGTAACTTGTTCTTGGCAATGCAGCCTTTGTGTGGTAGTTTTTGATCTATTAAGGTTTAGCTGTTCCTTTTATTTCAAGGTCAATTTCAGGTCAAGCAAGCATTTCAGTCAAGTTCAGATTATAAAGTATTTCAATTCCATGGTGTAATGTACTATCTCTGATCTTCATATTGATCCTGGACACAAGATCTTGTTCAAGCAACAATTTTATGCAACCAATTTTTATTTTACTTTTTAAGAAATTCCTGGCAAAATACCAGCATATATTTACATAAATAAAACCCTGTAATAAATCAGGTGCCCAGAAAATTCAAGAGGGTATCCAATATCAGATGGGAGAGAAAAAAAATCAAGTCATAATTAGTTTTATTCTAGAATAGGACATAACTGGAAAACAAAAAGAATCCAAAAATTCAGTGTGTCTGTGGCTTATTTTCACTTGAGTGCTCTAAACATGATGAAAACAAGATCACTCTTTTTAATATTAAAGAAGAGATTGTGTAGGCAATCAAGAAAGTGAGAGAGGAGGCACTTTTATTCTGGATTAGGCAATTCCTAAAGTCTAATCTAGGACATGAATATCCGAGCTACCTCTAAGTTGGTTCTAAAATAAGTATTGATTCTCTGCAATCTCACACTCCACAAATTCCTGCTTTTGTAGTGGGCTTATATCTTTGGATGTCAGTATAACAAAAAATCTGAATAGCCAAAATGATTAGTGTCTTTTATTTTTTCCCAGAAGCTTAGCCTTAGCCCAAATACATACAACAATTTAATCCTTTTCAAAACATACAAAGCCATCAGAAATTGAGTATGATCGATGAATGAGGTAATATGCAAAATGATGCTCAAAAACAAATTATTCCTTCATATTATCTCACTTTTCATATTAAAAAAAAAAAGGGAGGGAGCTCTTATTTGAAAATTTCCACACACCAAAAGTATAAAATACATACTTAATGTTCTGGTTTAAATTTCTTTATTAGGTTTCTTTATATTTAAATTTCTTTAAGTTCAAGTAGAGGGAAAATATATTGTAAAGACAGCAAACTATCACTTGCCAAAGAAAACAGATCTATTAATCTGTAGGAAAAAATATATAAAATGAAAGACATCCAGGAGGGAGAGTAAAAATCTATTTCTCTGTCAGAGCCTTTCAACTCCAGCTTTTGCTATTGTATTTCCTTAGGGAGCTCCCTGGAATAGGCTGTGTCTATAATCTTTTTGTAAAATGGGACTCTGATGGCAGGGACTGGAAAAAGGGGAATTTCTAGAGGCCGGTCTCATACATCAGAACAATACTCAAGTGCATTCCTCGGGGAAATAAATACAACTGCATAAAAGCCAAGTTATCATTCAAATAATAAAACAGTAGAAAATAGGCCATAAATCAGCTCATTAAGACGTTTTATGAGAAAAATGTCTCATAGTTTGCCTGGGAGATATCGATACCTTGTTGCCTGGTCTGGGACGGTGTGAAGCTGGAGCTGGAGCTGGAGCTGGAGCTGGCAGGACTAGGTTGTTCAGACTTTAAAGAAGAAAAGAAAGCCATCGTCAATAAATTTATAGGATGCTCCACATCTAAAATTAACATTATTGATCAAAAATATTTTGCTATGCAAAAATAGTCCGACACTGTGCAAGAAAAAATGAGTACACATTGTATTATGCCAAAATCAGCGACACAGGAGAATCATGGTGTCCTTTTTGTTTTGTCTACCATGTTTTTACCAGACGTGGGAACAAGTATATAAACTCAAGGATGATGAGACAAACACCTGGGCATTACATGAGGGAAGAACCTGGCTTTGATTTTACTCCTGTGTTTACTGCTATCTAAATCTCTAAAAGATTACCTTGATTACCCTTTCTGCAATGTTTGATTGACTCAACTGGTTAGAACATAGTGGTAATGAGGCCAAGGTCATTAGTTCAATCACATTATGAGCCAGTTAATTTCACTCTGGTCCAAGGCCATGACCCAACCCTAACCTCATTCATCCATAGTTCACAAATGGAGATAATGTTCATAAGGAGATCTGGCCAAGTCCCACAATTGAGTCAGTGGGAAATGTTGCCGATACTTACACACACACACACACACACACACACACACAAAACCCCCACCCTCTAATTCCAGCCTGTGGATGCAGGGAAAAAGCATCATACACATGCCCCACTCTCTCACCCTGAATTCTCCTCATCCTCTAATACCCAGGACAAATACCACATCCTCCCTGACCTGTCCAACTCACAGTTGTCTTCCTGCTCTGAACCCACTGAAAATGTGTATCTCATCATCTGTTTGCTCATCTGATATGCTATAGTGTTATGCTGCCTCTGATGTGTCTCCTCTCCAGGAGTTGCAGGGACTTGCAAAGAAAAGGGTGTGGGGTCTCTCTTGTGTTGGTTATCCCCTCATACTCACCTTAACACACGCATACAGCATGCACTCTCTATCTGTGACTGAAGGCAGAGCATTAGGTGCTTTGTTCTACCATCTGCCAGTTTTTATGAGACTTTATAGTGGGTCAAAGTGGGAAGAACAAATACCTGGACAGAACTGTGCAAAGAAACTGATCAGACCATCAACACATTTGAATTTTACATACTTAGGTCCAATTTAAAATAACTCAATAATGTTGGTAAATTTGGGTGGACTATTTTTATCCCATTTCTCATGTGCTCACAGTCTCAACTATCTATTCATGTTATTTGAGTATCAGATAAGGTCTTTTCCCGTACAGACATCTCTTTCTTCTTTTGACTTCACTCATTGGGTGACGGAGGTATCAGGGCCGTGTGGAAGACAAAAGAGCTCCAGCAGAAGCCACTAAACGAGGAGGGAGAGCCTCAGCTCAGTTGATAATGCAGTTTTCTCACCACTGATTTTTACTCATCCTCCTCCCCGGCCCTAAATGGCAACCCCCTTCTCTCCAAGCAACACTAAGACCCAGACTTGGACACAAGGAAGCACTTTCAGGCATTCCTGATGCACACTTCACATCCTCAGGCTGGATGGGAAAACAGGTGTCAGCAATCTACCACTCATTCTGCAGGAAAGGAGCCAGACAGGATCTCTAATGAGCAGCAGGCGGCCTCCAACCCTTCACTACTGCAAGATTTGCTTGAGATTTGCAGTTCAATGTCCAACATGTTGCTGTCTGTGGCCCACCAAGAGGAGCTGGTTTACAAGCACACATGCCTGTGTGAGGGACTCTTCATTTCCGTTGAGTGGCTCTTCCACTGTTGAGCCACAAAGGTGAGCTATACCACTGCAAGGGCATTCAGTTAGCAGTTATGTGCAATGCCCAGCTGCAAAACATTTCTCCCGGGGGCTGTGAAGTACTCCTTTTCCTTTCCAAGTTGCTCTTTTCAGCCATGAAAAGTGTCTGCAAACGGTATTATTTTGATAGCTCTGGAAACCATTTGGGAGCCAAAAAAGAGGTTTCCTTACAGTGAGTGGAAAGAGCTCTAATTCCCCCTCCTGCTGGACCAGTCATGTTGCACTGGACTTAAAGGAGCCGTTTGCCAGAGCTATTTGCTGAGAGTGACACTAATTAGGAAACCAAGAGGGGATGGTGGCAATCTCTAGAACCACCCCATGCTAAACTTGATCCATTGGTCTCAAGCATCATGCCAGTGCCAGACCCAAACCTGTAGGCAGCCTTCTTTTAGCTTCTTAACCACAAACAAGGTTAATAAATCAACAGTTACCAACCAACAGAAAATTGACGAAGAGTAGAGAACATAACACAACAGGAGAAAAAGGCTTTCATTCAATGTTTATCATTAATGCCATGCCTGACCCACAAAACATTTAAGGTTTTTAATAAACACATTAATTCACTGAAAATATTAAAATGGAAAGTTGAAAGCAAAAGAGGTGATTGGAGAAGGATAAAATGTTGAATGATGGGTAGCAAATCCAGTATCTTAGAACCCTTTGGATGAGGATTTGTGGTTTTGGAGCTAAGGAGACTCCTTGGGATGATCAGATATGGAGTCTCACACTTTCATGGGCATTACAATTACCTGAAGGACTTGTTAAGACACAGACAGCTGGGTCCCACTCCAGATTTCTGAGTCAATAATTCTGGGGTAGGGATGAGAACCTGGATTCCATAAAAAGTTTCCAGGTGATGCTGCTGCTGCTGTTCTGGGGACCAACCAGACTTTTAAGACACTGACCAAGGATCCAGAGATTCATAGCCCGGATATTCATCCGAATCACTTGGGGGGTTTCTATACATAAGGGAATTCTGATTAAATAGGTTTGGTGTGAAGGTCCAGGCATATTTATATTGTAAAAGCTCAAGCAAATATTAATGAAAATTCCAAGTACGACACCACTGATACTATGTTAATCATTTCTTCTAAATGCAAATGCATATTTTGGAAAGACTCTTAAATTTAAAGAAAAAAAGCAACATAAGAAAAGCTAGAAACTTAGTGATGTATCCAGAAGTAGCATCCCTGCATACTCATCAAAGGATTTTGCGAGAAAACAACCTGAAAGAACACAGTTATGGCTCAATAAAAACATCTAAGCATATATAAAATCATGTCATAGTAGATGTACCTTCAACTTAACCTAGACAGACCAGGACAGAATTCAACTAAATTTTAACTGTTCAAAAACCCATTCTGCTGCTAGATGAAGCCGACACCATCTTACATCTTATCAAATCCAACAAAACAGATTTGCTCACTTTAAGTCTGTATTTTATATGAAAATAAAATCAGATTTACTCTCCAAAAATGCAAATCAAGGATGATCTTATAACCTAGAAAAGATTGCTTTTTAAAAAATATTTACCATACACAGAACCGGATTAAGACCCTCAAGGAATGAAAAGATTATTGTATCCTCCTTCCCCCTTATGTATGTATGTGCTAAAACCTAAGTACAAGGAACTCCAATGAGGTCCTGATTTTTCCCATTACTAACTTGATATTGTTTCTGAAATAGCAAATTTCTCACCACTAAGAAAACATTTTTGGCTTTTTCCTATTGATGCTGGAAGGCACATGTTTTGCTGACTGAGTAATCAAACACTAGACATGAAGTTTCTTTAAATGATGGGTTCCACAGTGACAAAAGTCTAGGCTTAAGAACCTCAAATTTGGGAGACAAACCATAAGACTCTTAACTCTAGAAAACAAACAAGGTCTGCTGGAGGGGAGGGGTGTGAGGGGAATGGGGTAACTGGGTGATGGACATTAAGGAGGGCACTTGATGTAATGAGCACTGAGTGTTTTTATTTATTTATTTATTTATGATAGTCACACACACACACACACAGAGAGAGAGAGAGAGAGAGAGAGAGAGAGAGAGAGAGAGAGAGAGGCAGAGACATAGGCAGAGGGAGAAGCAGGCTCCATGCACCAGGAGCCCGACGTGGGATTCGATCCCGGGTCTCCAGGATCGCGCCCTGGGCCAAAGGCAGGCGTTAAACCGCTGCGCCACCCAGGGATCCCAGCACTGAGTGTTATATGCAATTGATGAATCACTAAACTCTACCTCTGAAACTAATAATGCACAATATGTCAATTAACTGAATTTAAATTTTAAAATTCTATGACAATCATTATCATATCAAACATTGAGTGTTAAATTTAGAAACCTCTCACCTTGCCTGCTCAAGCCTTTTCCCAATATCTAATAAAAACCTGACTAAAAACTCCTAGCCCACTATTCTTAGAGTGGTAGCTAATCAACATTTGGTTGCTACTATTACTTACAAGAGACCACATACTCCTCTTTTGCCTAAAACAAGATATATCTTTACTACCAAAACAATGGGCCTACCAAGATTTGCAGTGGAATCTTCAGCATTAAATGGCTATGCAAAACCATTCTGTAATGGATTTTCTATGGAGGATTATTTTTGTCCAAGACAAGTAAGAAAAACCACATGTTTACAACTCGTACAAGTGCTTCAAAAGAGAACACCTGTCAAGGCAGGTCACACAAGAGGGCCTGTAAAATCTGGCATTGTTTCTCACTGGGAGCAAGCTTATTCCTTAGGTAATCAGAAGAAAGAAGTTCCATCTTTTCTCACAGGCAACATATTTATGAACAGAATTTCAACCTGGGGCACCTGGATGGCTCAGTGATTGGATGTCAGCATCTGGCTCAGAGCGTGATCCTGGGGTCCTGGGATCAAGTCCCGCATCAGTCTCCCCTTAAGGAGCCTGCTTCTCCCTCCATCTATGTCTCTGCCGCTTTCTCTCATGAATAAATAAAATCTTCAAAAAAATAATAAAAAAAAAGAATTTCAACCTGATCTTTAAAACAATCAAAATAGAGGGAAAGGAAAAGAATAACATAAACTTTTTTTCTCCCCCGTTGGGTGGGGGGAAAGGGAGAGAATACAGTACAAGTAGTTAAATTATTTTAGATACATTGCTACATTTTTTTCCACAAAATTTATACCTTGTTTAGAAAGAGAAAACACAGAGACTGCAATAACAATTCTTTTTTTTTTTTTTGCACAAATATCCAGAAAGACTATGTCAAGGGTG